TAGTACGTGTACACACACACACACACACACACACACACACACACACACACACACAAATTAAAAATGTAAAGGCTTAGGACCAGTATACATGCCATGCTTTTCAAACAAGATTATTGGACTAATTTGCCATAAGTGAGACTGTGGCATAAATACTTTTTAGTAGAATTGCTAATCTAAAAGCACTGGGGCGTTTGTTTTGTCTTGCCATCTGGTTTCATGTTCAATATAACATAACTCAGGTTACAATTTACTAAACAGGAGTCATAAAATGAGATGTTACAAGAAACTAAATAAGGAATTTTATGTGCATCACAAAGGGACAATAGCTTAGCACACTCAGACATTTCAGAAGCAGTTCCAGATGGATATTCTGTTTGTACAGGATCAGTTATGTCACATATAGATCTTGATTAACTTGTCATGTTTTAGACCAATCTGACAAGTTCATTTCACAACCCCCTCAGAATAGTTTTTGCAGCCTTGACCTGAGCAAATTGCTGGTTAACTTTTGATATACTGGCTGTTTACAGAACCCCAGACTCCACTTCAAGCAAAGCACCATAGTTACAGAACACAAAAAAAGAAAAGGATAATGATACTTGAGTCAGGTTATCCGTCAGAAAAAATATATTTTCATCTTTCTTCTGCTCTTGAAAGTGGGATGTTTGTGGAATAGAACAGTTTATTTAGGTCACAGGTGCATGTTTCGACAAAGAAAGAAATGGAAATGTCATGCTCACTATCTCTAGCAAGTGAAGTACTTATGAAGATTAAACTTAATAATTTTACTAATAAAGCACGTCTAAAAACCCTAATTTGATGTTTATGTACCAATTCTACTCACAGTAATGGGTCTGTAATCTTTCCCCTCCCTTCCTTTGTGTTTATGTTTTTAAAATCATGTTGTTTTGCCATTCTACGGCTATAGTCAAGAGTGCACAATGAGAGGATCAACTCTCATTGGGAAACAGCTTATCACAAACATTGGCAAAACATGTAAAGGAGAAATGTATGTGTAATAATCAATACTGCCATCTAGTGGTAAAACTGTAACCTAACATTTTAAACAGACTACCCTTCCAAATTACCTGTTACAAATGTTCAACTAACTCCCCCAAATAGCTGAGACACAGAAATTGAGGGAAAGATTTAAACATCTAATTTCAGCTACAATGAGACAGGAATTATCTTGGTTTTTGCTTCTCTGTTGACACATGAACATGTAACCCTCTTGCTGTTACACTGACATCTGTATTTTAAAAACACTAAATAAAATACCCTTTCACAAAGCAAAGATATTAGACAACAGGCCTGCCACCAGGGATGGGGTGAGGGGGTGTTCAAGAGGGCAATTGCCCAGGGGCTCAGGCAATTTAAAAGGGCTCATGGGCCCCTGGCCGCCATTAGTGCAGTGGGACTAAGGCAGGCTTCCCTGTCTGCCCTTGCTCTGTGCCACTCCCAGAAGCGGCCAGCACCTCCCTGCAGCCCCTGGTGAGGGGTTCTCTGTGCGCTGCCCCCACCCCAAGTGCCGACTCTGCAGCTCCCATTGGCTGGGAACTGCGGCCAATGGGAGCTGCGGGGGTGGTGCCTGCATGCAGTGACCCCCTGGGCCATCTGCCTAGGAGCCGCTGCCAGAAGGGTGTGCCAGTCACTTTCAGGAGCTGCCCGAGGTACGCGCTGACCCCGCACCTTCTCCTGCGCCCAAACTCCCTCCCAGAGCTTGCAGCCTACACCCCAACCCCCTGTCCCAGCCTGGGGGAAGTGAGTGAGGGTAGGGGACAGCGAGTGACAAAGGGAGGAGAGAAATGGAGTGGGCCAGGGGCAGGGCCTCAGAAGGGGCGGGACAGGGGCATGGTCTCAGTGAAGGGGCAGAGCAGGGGCAGGGCAAGGGTCTTGGGTTTGCACAATTAGATAGTTCCATGCTGGAAGAGCGCTGCCAGCTGCGCAGCTGGCAGCTCGCTGGGCACCAGCCAGCGCAGGTGCAGCACTGAGCAAATGTCAGCCGGACTGTGTCCGAGGCTTGTGTGCGCATGGGGGGCCCATTGACTGTTCTGCTCTGGGGCCCGGAATTGCTGTCAGCAGGGCTGTCAGACAATACCCAGAAGTTAGGAACAAAGTTTCAGCTCACTGTGTTTTCTCCTGACTACAAGTCATTTACAGGCAGTTTTTGGATCAGGCATCTGCCTGTTCCCTGGAGCAGCAAGCAGTGTAGAGAAGTTGCTCCCAAGCTCCTTCCTCTCCCTGTCCCTGGCACTCTAGAGTAGTGCAGACCTTAGGGTCTGGAATAGCTTTGGTAGCGTCTGGGCCTTTCAGGATTCTACAAAGGAGCCTCTGCCTCCAGGGCCCCACAAGTCTGGGCTATATACGTCATTGCAGATGGTAGAATATGGCCTGCTAAATGTAAGATTGTTTAATTTCAGCATTCTTGAGTGTGACAAGTTGTCCTAAGATTTATCTAAAATATCATGATTATATCTGATCACCTAATTAGAA